GTGATGCAGGTCCATGCGAAGGCATCTCAGCAGGGGTATCGGTGGAAGCAAAAAGAGGGGGTTCAGAAGGGACAGTAGCCAGTCTGCCTGACCTTTTTCAAGGAGCTCCCTGACCTTAGAGATGAGGAATTCCGTATCCATGGTGTTTGGAAAGTAACGCAGGGGAGGGCGTCCAACTTCTTCTGGTGTTGAAGTCTTCTACACACTTTACATGCACATAGAGGTTAACGCCTACTTATTAGGCCATGCTTGCATCAGTCAAGGCTTCCCTTCTACTATCAATTCAATGTGCCCTCATTATCAGTCTTGTTATTTTTGGCTGAAGTCCTGCACTTCGTATCTCATGCCTCTGGCCAGCTTGTGTTCTTGGAAGAGGTCATTGTGGACTCCTTTTTTTAGAGCCGCCTCTTGATAAGATTATACACTCATTAACGATGGCAGATAACTAATTTGATAAGAGCCGTGCAGCAGATCTGCTATTAGTGATTAGTTCCACGTGGCACAGCTAGGAAGACTGAAGGTTGAAGCCGCTCCGGCTGCTCTGATCTTCTGTTGTTTTCTTCTTCAGGAGAAGATTTAATAAATAATTCATAGTTGCATCTCCAGCACGCAGCAAGTCTCCTGAGTTCATTGTCTGCCGTCCTGACGCAGAATCTCTCGCATCCAACATGTCTGTTTACACGGTATGCGGATGTCCAATGTTGTTGCACAGCGAGGACTCACAGACAAGCAATTGCACACAATGCACTCAACTAAAGCACTGGAGACAATTGTTTGCACACAGCTAGGGATGAGTGATCTAATGCACACAATGCCCAAAGTACACAGAATTCTAGACATGCAACTGCACACAGTACACCTTATAATAGACATGCAACTGCACACACAGTACACCTTATAATAGACATGCAACTGCACGCAGTACACCTTATTATAGACATGCAACTGCACACAGTACACCTTACAATAGACATGCAACTGCACGCAGTACACCTTACAATAGACATGCAACTGCACGCAGTGTACTTTATTATAGACATGCAACCGCACGCAGTACTCCTTAGGCAACTGCACGCAGTGCACCTTATAACAGACATGCAACTGCACGCAGTACACCTTACAATAGACATGCAACTGCACGCAGTACACCTTATAACAGACAGGCAACTGCACGCAGTACACCTTATTATAGACATGCAACTGCACGCAGTACACCTTCTTATGGACATGCAACTGCACGCAGTACACCTTATAATAGACATGCAACTGCATGCAGTACACCTTATTATAGACAGGCAACTGCACGCAGTACACCATATTACAGACATGCAACTGCACACAGTACACCTTACAATAGACATGCAACTGCACGCAGTACACCTTATAATAGACATGCAACTGCACGCAGTGCACCTTATAATAGACATGCAACTGCACACACAGTACACCTCATTATAGACATGCAACTGCACACAGTACACCTTATTATAGACATGCAACTGCACGCAGTACACCTTATAATAGACATGCAACTGCACGCAGTACACCTTATAATAGACATGCAACTGCACGCAGTACACCTTATAATAGACATGCAACTGCACGCAGTACACCTTATAATAGACATGCAACTGCACGCAGTACACCTTATAATAGACATGCAACTGCACGCAGTACACCTTATAATAGACATGCAACTGCACGCAGTACACCTTATAATAGACATGCAACTGCACGCAGTACACCTTATAATAGACATACAACTGCACGCAGTCTAAACAGACCCCTGATATTTCCCTTTTAAAATAGAAAAAGAGATTGAGGACACAAAGTCCTCAGAGACACAGAGTCCTCAGAGACACAGAGTCCTCAGTCTCCTTTTCTGCAGTCCCTGTTATCAATGGACAGGAATCCTCTATACTGAGTGTTCCTGTTCATTCATAACATGAGGACAGAGTGTGTTTACTATAACTACAATCGTGAATGTACAGGAGGAGATGTAGATCACTTCCCATTCATTCATAATTGAGGATATACTACACATACTCTGTCCTCAATTATGTACAAACACTCAGCGATCACTGATCAGTGACTGCTTGTACCCGCTCTCGTTCATGACAAGCTGTCACAGAAGAGCTCAGCCTCCTGTGACAGCGTGGGCTGTCTCCGCCCCCACACCGCTCTATAGGAGGCTGAGCGGTGTGGGAGAGACGCCGGCCGTTCAGAGCGCTTTCGTCCCGCAGCTCTCGGCCGCCTGTCACACTTTCTCTCTTCCCCGCTGGGACACAGAGCAGCGCCCAGCAGGGAGGAGAGAAGCACAAATGCGCCGATGTATCGGCAGAAAAATTGCACTTTCGGCATTTAGCCAAAAGTGCCATTTTCGGCCGATATGTTTCGGCTGCCGATATATCGGTGCATTGTAGGGCCCTCAATCACAGTTAACACTAAACTGATGAGCTGTAAAAGCTTTTAAAACTTCAATTTTTGGTATTTGGTGTTGTCCTTTTTTGCGATTTCACGAGCGCACACATTTTTAAGGCTTGACATGTTTGGTGTCTATTTACCCGACATGACGTCATCTTTTATATTTGACTAAAATTGGGTATTATATTGTTTCTGGGCACTAAATTTCATTTTAGTGTATCTTATCCTAAAAATACTGGTTTGATAAACATTTGTGCAAATATCGTGCAGCATACAAAATTGCAACAAGCATTTTTTTTTATTCCACAGAGCCTCTGCTTTGAGAAAATATGTCATTGTTTGGGGGGTTTTAGGCTGTTTTCTAGTCAAACAAATCATGATTTTATCATGTGTGCAATAACTAAGAAATTGCTCAGGACGACAGGTGGTTAAGGGGCTGATTTGTAGCGCCATCTAGTGGCACGAGTGATACTAGATGACGCTGAGGACATTTATAAATCAGCCCCTTACTGACATCTAGTGGGGGAAAAGCAGATTGCAACACACATTTGCCTTTGCTACCTGCAGCAACCAGTCCACAATTTTTAATATTGGTATTTATAAATAACACTGACATTTTACACAGCTCACATTCACATCAGTCTCTGCCCTCAAGGAGCTTACAATCTAAGATCCCTATGTCACATGCATACATACAAGGGACAATTTAGACAGAAGCCAATTAACCTTCCCCATGTATTTGGTGTATGGGAGGTAACCAGAGTACCCGGAGGAAACCCATGCAAGCACAGGGAGAACATGCAAACTCCTTGCAGATAGTGTCCTGACCGTGACTTGAATCGGAGACCCCCAGTGCTGCAAGGTAGAAGCGATAACCACTAAGCTACTGTGGGTTTTTTTTTCTAGCATGAAGTTTGCCTGAGCTCTTCGCTACCTATGATGCTCTTGCCCTCTGTTTGGCTTCCCACCAAGCTCGCTGACTTCACCGGTTGCCAGGGACGCGAGAAGGATGCTCTGGCTGGTGTCTTGCAGAACTCCCGGCAATCAGTGAAGTGGGCGGGAAGCCAGACAGAGAGCCGCTCACAGCTTGGCTCTACTCAGCCATTTCCACCCTTCCCACTGCATCTGCTGTAAAGAAACGACCCCCCCCGCACAAACGCACAACTGCATCACACG